GAATGTCCCCCGCCTCGGACCACAGCCAGACTCCTGGATAAGGTGAGACGCCACATTTGTGCTCATCCAGTGCTGACCAGCATCTTGAGCCCTAGGAAGTGGGTCCCACTGCTTTCCTTCAGCTTCACAGGAAAACCTTACAGAGGAACAGGCAGATTAACAAACTTTGAACTGGGTTGGGAAATGGACCTCAGTGGTGAAGAACTCACCTAGCAAGTCAAGGCCTGGGAAGGGGTGGGTCAATCCCAAGCCCCATGAAATATAAGCAAAAAGAAACTTTCAACTATAATATGCTCTGTGCCAAATAGTTCGTGTATATTTTCTTAGTTAATACTGTGTCCTCTGAAAAGGCTGTAAGATGAGCCCCTGTGCATGGGAGCTACGGCCTCCTCCTGGGGTGGGACCATCAGTGGTATTCAGAAGCTATGTCTAGTTCTGCTTTGTTTTCTCACCAAGCTTGTTGGAGAGTTCCTTGAAGTGACGTGCATCAATCCAACATTCATCTGCGATCACCCACAGATTATGAGCCCTCTGGCCAAATGGTAAGATGCAGTTTGTTGCTACATTAAAAACCCTTCGAGTAAGGCTGTCCCTATGCAGAGGAGCATTTAATTAGCACACATCAGGACTCTTAGGTTCCGTCTTCAGTACTGCTTTTCACCAAAGCAGGTTGATGGTGTGAAGTAACAGTTGTGATGCTCTGCATTGACTTAGTGGTTTTTCTGTGCCATGTATTGACGCAGAAACTTGGGTGGGAATTCTGCCAGGGCCTCTTTGTGTGATTTCTCTGTCAATAGTCCTGCTTTTGTCTGCATGCATGGTAGGGTTCCTGTAAAAACCCTAATGGGTCCTGTAAAAAATCCCGATGGTCCTGTAGCTCCCATGCCACTACAGGACCTGTACACGAGCTGGGAACTTAGCTGGAGACTTAAAAACAAACAGACAGGGGGCTGGAGAGATGGCTCAGTGGTTAAGAGCATTGCCTGCTCTTCCAAAGGTCCTGAATTCAATTCCCGGCAACCACATGGTGGCTCACAACCACCTGTAATGAGATCTGGTGCTCTCTTCTGGCCTGCAGGCATACATACAGACAGAATATTGTATACATAACAAATAAATAAATATTTAAAAAAAAAGAGAGAGTGGACACAGGTCATTCTTGATATAAGAATACCAATGCTCCCTTTATTGTGCGTAGGAGCAGCTTATATAGGAATCCTTAACCACGCCCAGCTCTCGGGATCTTTCAGCTGCAGGTCTCAGGCTCAGTTCACTCAGTCAACGGATCTGAGAAAGTCAAGAGGCCAGGGATCTATAGCTCCCAACAGGTTCCCAAGGCAGGCATTCCAAAAGAACAAGCAGACATGCTAGACTTTTGCTGATGCCTCCTTGACCAAAGCAGGTGGACAGCCTAGAGTATGAGAGCAAAGAGAAGGGCTTGAAGTCAGTCAGCTCCATGCTTGTGAATATAACTGAATCTTCTGGTCTCTCACTGCTCTGGTTCCAGTGACTGGTGCTGAACATCAATGAGGCTTCAGGTCTCAATTTCTGAGCCAGGTACATTCTGAGAATCCTGAATAGTCATCCTCTGTGGTCTCATGTTCCCAGGCACCGCTCCAAAGAGGGTCTAACTGAGCGCTTTGAGCTGTTTGTCATGAAGAAGGAAATCTGCAATGCCTACACTGAGCTGAATGATCCCATGCGGCAGCGGCAGCTGTTTGAGGAACAGGCCAAGGTAAGGAAGGAGAGCAATGACATTATTTCACCGCTGAGTTCACTCACCAGGAAGAACTGGCCTTAATCCTGTCTATGGACACTTTCTTGGCATTTTAACCAAAGTTAAAAAGGCTCTTTAATTTTTTTATTTTGTTTTATGTATATGGGTATTTTTCGAGCATGTGTATTAGTATACCACGTGCTTACAGAGATCAAGAAGGACAGAAAAAGGGAATTGGATCCCCCGGAACTGGAATTACCAGTGGTTGTGAGCCACCATGTGGGTATTGGGGATTGAACCTGGGTCCTCTGGAAGAGCATCTCTTAACCACTGAGCTGTTTCTCCAGCTCAGAAAGAGGCTTTCGTAGGAGGAAGTCACATTTAAAGTAGAGCTCTTCGTTTTTGAAGAGCCTTATCTGGACGCTAAGGCCACCCTTGAATTCCTTGATCCTCTAAGGACTGGGATTAGAGTGACTCTCCCACACCCAGCTGAGACTCGGGGCTTTGATCTTACAATGCATAAAATGAATTTAAGATCACCTCTATTTATTTAGCAAAAATACACTTTTTCTTAGACTATACCTCTTTTTTGCAATGGTATGGTGATTTGGGTTTTTTTTGTTTGTTTGTTTGGGTTTTTTTTTTTTTTTTGGAAACAGTTTCTCTATGAAGTCCTGGCTGTCCTGGAACTCTGTCTATAGACCAAGCTGGTTTTGAAACTCAGAGCAGTCCCCCTGCCTATGCCTTCCAAGTGCTGGGACTAAAGGTGTGCGCCACCACATCTGACATAAACTGCGCCTTTATTGAGGCGGTTTGAGGATGAGCAGCACATAAAGATCTAAGGACGGCAGTGCCCAAGCTGCCTTTACTTTACTGCCTCTGGTTCTTTAGTGTCGTCTGTAGTAGCTGAGAACTCATCTGTTTGGAGTCCCAAATCCCCAAGCAGAAGAACATTTTTGTTCAGAGAAATTTGCCTACATTCTGAGACCAAAAAAGGAAAATTTAATTGTTGTATTCTATTTGATAAAATAATGAGGGATACCTGCTCTCCCCCCATCCCACCTCTGCCACCATTGGGTTTTTGAGACACGATCTCAGTGTTTAGCCCTGACTGGCCTGGAATTAGTTTTGTAAACCAGACCAGCCTCCAGCTCTTGTCAGTCCTCCTGCCTTGGCCTTCCAAGTGCTGGAACTACAGCTATGTACAATCACATTCAACTTAAAATAGGGCTTTCATCTCTGAGGTAGGTTTCATCAGGCCTAACCTCCAGGTCTCTGGGAGAAACAGCTAAATCCTAGAGTTACTGGGAAGCCATTTTCTAGCAAGTCTTGAATGTCAAGAACATCTTTGGTACTTTCGAAAGTTTTAATGTGTGGGTAGGTGCTAAGATGACCTAGAATGACAGCTCTCAACCTGTGGGGCGCAACCTCTTTGGGGGTCACATATCAGATATTTACATTGTAATTCATAACAGCAGCAAAATTACAGTTATGAAGCAGCAATGAAAATAATCTTATAGTTGGGAGTCACCACAACACGAGAGGAACTGTATTAAAGGGCCTCAGCATCGGGAAGGTTGAAAGCCACTGAACTAGAAGATGATTACATCTGACTCCGTTTATTCTAGGCCAAGGCTGCTGGTGACGATGAAGCCATGTTCATAGATGAGAACTTCTGTACTGCCCTGGAATATGGGCTGCCCCCAACAGCTGGCTGGGGCATGGGCATCGATCGGGTCACCATGTTTCTCACAGACTCCAACAATATCAAGGTACGCACAAACTTCTCAGTGCATGCTTCCCTGAACGCCACTGCACATCAGGGAGGGTCTGGAAATAAAGGACTGCTGAAGTTCATGCCCCTGCACAGGTGGAAGACTAAAGGGCATCTGACCTTCCAGGGTTGTGGTTTTTCCTGCTTGAGACAGGAGGTATACTAAGTTTGCTTCTTCTTTAATAGCCAGGGAAATGCTAAGTCCTCTCAATTATATTGCCTCATGTTAGTCAATTCTGTAAGGTGTGTAAACTTTTTATTTTTTATTGTATTTTATAGAGAAGGAAATCCATGTTACTCGTTTTTTGTTCCTGTTTTTGAGACAGGGTCTCAGGTAGCTAGGCTCATCTACGTTCAGTCACGTGGCTCGATACCTCATCTCTCAATACTGCCCATCCTGCTTCCTCTCTCAGCCTGGAAGTCCTACCTATACCTCCTGCCTTGCTATTAGCTTTTTATTGCACCAACCACAGCAATACGCTTTGTAGTTTGCAGTGTCCTTGAACTCCTGATATGCCCGCCTCTACCACCAGAATTGATTATATTGATGTATGCCTAGAAGAAAGTTCACTTTTTAATAATAAATTTAAAAAATTTATACATATGACTGTTTTGCACCACAAACATACTTTGTGCCAGCAGAGGCCAATTGTCAAATCCCCTAAAACAAGTTACACAAGACTGTGAGCTACCATGTAGCTGCTCAGAACCAAATCTGGGTCCTCTCTAAGACCAGCAAGTGCTCTTAACTGCTGGGCCATCTCTCTAGCTGAAACTCAATTTTACTAGAAAACCTGTGTTGATTCATTCTTTTGACATGGAGGGTTTGTGCACGTGTTTTGGCTAAGGTGTGCAGATCTATAGATTTGGCTGATTTGGTTAGTGACAACAGAGACAAAAGCAATGATAGGATAACTGTAAAAACATTCATGGGGCCTTTTCTTTTGTCTCTTTGAGACAGGGTTCTGGAACTCTGTAGACCAGGCTGCCCTCAAACTCAGACATCCGCCTGCCTCGGCCTGCGCTGTGGTTAAAGAAAGACTTGTGCCACTAAACCAAGTTCATGGTGCTTCCTAATTCCAAAGTATGTTTTCCTCTTCTATAGGAAGTGCTTCTGTTTCCTGCCATGAAGCCTGAAGACAAGAAGGAGACTCCAGCAGCCACTGAGGCCCTAGAAAGCACAGCTGGGCCCTCTGTCTAGAGGATAAATGCGACTCTGGCATCTGCAGTTCAGCAGAAGGTCTGCTCTCAGGGTTCATGTGTGTTGCCATCCAACCACCGAAGTCCAACCACCAGGAGAGAGAAGAATTCAAGAATTTCTTTTTATTGCTTGTTACCAAATAAACCATTTCTCTCTTTACCTATGTAATGTTACATTTTTCCCCCCAGACTGCTGATCTAATGAATGTTTAGAATTCTGTCATTGTAAATTTGTTTTCTTTGTTTGGTTTTAGTTTTTCGGGACAGCATTTCTCTGTGTGAGAACTCTGGCTGTTGTGGAACTCGCTTGGTAGACCAGGTTGACTACAAACTCATAAAGATCCACCTGTCTCTGCCTCCTAAGTGCTGGGATTAAAGGCATTCACCACCACCTGGCTTGTATTTTTTTTAAGACTTATTTTTATTTTTAGTTGTGTGTGTGTGTGTACTGTAGTGCAGATGCCCTCTGAGGCCAAGTGATGGATCAAAATGTGCTCTTTACTCCTGAGCCAACTTTCCAATTTACATTAATGTCAGTTCAATACTAGGCATTGTCCTGAACTATTGGAAACACGGCAGTGAACAAAAATCCATCGCTACTTCCATGGAAATTACTCTTTTTTTTCAATACTTAATTTATTATGTATACAGTGTTCTACCTGTATGCAGGCCAGAAGAGGGCACCAGATCTCATTACAGATGGTTGTGAGCCACCATGTGGTTGCTGGGAATTGAACTCTGGACCCTCTGGACGGGCAAAGCAGTCAGTGCTCTTAACTGCTGAGCCATCTCTCCAGCCCCAGAAATTACTTTTTAGGGCTTAAGTGGAAAATTGAGAGAGAATCAGACAAGATAAAGTCCATGTCCTTTTTTGGTGGAGGCACACACTAAGAAAAACACCAAGAAGGGTAAGAGGACTGCGGGGCTATTTTACATAGAATAAACAAGGAGTGGGAGACATGGCCCGGTGGTTGCAAGTGACTTCCGTTCTTGAAGAGACTCTGGACCCACGTTAGGCAGCATTCAATCTGTAATCCAGTTCCCCATGCCCTTTTCTAGCCAACTTGGGTATTTGCATGCCCGTGTGGGCCTAAATTGACACAGACACGTGCACATAAATCTTTTAAAATACATGCATGTATGTACGGGGATCTGTTACCCGTGCAGTGAAATGCATGAGGAGCCATGTCATCCAAGTCCATAATAGTCATGCAGGATTTGTTATGAGCGATGTAGGAAACTGCCAGTGGGTCTGATCATAGTCCAGTTCAAAATTCAGAGAGGTAAGTCGGTTTTGAAACCATACCTCTAGCCGGACGGTGGTGGCACACACCTTTAATCTCAGCACTTGGACGGCAGAGGCAGGCGGATCTCCGAGTTCCAGGGCAGCCTGGTCTATAAGAGCTAGTTCCAGGCCTGGATCCAAAGCTACAAAGAAACTCTGTCTTGAGAAACCAAAACAACAAAAAGCACAGGCAAGGGCTTGACTATAGGACTGAGCCTTCTTGGCTCCTTTCCCACTCAAGGACTACAAAGACCATCATGCTTCGCGAGCGGAGTTTGAGCGAAGCCTCCTTTAACACGTCCTTCCGGTGCGCAACCAGGTTCTGCGGCGGTAAACCGGTTCGTGTGGAGGGCGTGAAGTGTGGATAACAGTGTCTTAGGTTCTCAGATTGGCGTCCAGTTCTCCGGGCCAGATCTACACAAGCCGGCTTTGTGTGGGAGAACACGTGTCCTCTGCTCCCACGGAGTGGTCTCACGGTCCAGCTAGGCGCTCCCACCCCGGGGTAGGAAGGGTGGGGGGAAAAGTGGGTTTTTCAGCTTTGCGACTGTTACTTGCGGTCAAAGAAATGCCTGTTTGAGTTCCTTCGTACACAGGAATTCTTCGAAGTCTTTAAATTGGGGTTGTTGACAAGAATTACAGCGGACCCAAAATATCGAAACATCCCACAACCGCGTGGTCGCTTACCTGAATTGACGTGATGTAGTTTGTGCTATGTATCTCTAGTTTAATTGCAAGTTAATGGCAGGTGTCTAACTATTCTCTGCTGCCTTCTTGGAACGAACAGGATTCTAGAATCTTTCATGCTTATGTTCCTAGAAACAGAAGCAGGTGGATTTCTGTGAGTTCGAGGCCAGCCTGGTCTACAGAAAAAGTTCCAGGACAGCAAAGGTTACACAGAGGAAATTCTGTCTCGAACTCTTCCCCCGCACCCCCCAAAAAAGCAAGATTTCTCTGCGTTAGACTTTAACTATCTCTGTCAATCTCTGCCTGAATAATCATTACCGTTTACTGCAAAAATGGGAAAGCAACTTGCAGAAGTTGTAGAGATACTTTGCAGAAACATTACATCTGAGCTCAGAAAAAACTATTCTGTTGTTTATAATACAGATGCTCTGCGGTGTCTAGCCATCGTATGAGCTCATCTGAGAAGCTTTTCATATGATCAGATGAAGTCAAGATATGACCAGTGAGTACTAACAGAGCCAAGAGTGGCGGACTTTCTGCATACTGTCTCGGGGCTCTTTCAGATATGATCTGCTCATATTTGTTAGTTTGTGTATAAATGGCTTTATGTGCCCGTTAGAATTCTTTTCTCCCCCCACCAACTCAAATGTCCCAGATCACCAAATGTTGTATTTTGTAATGTTAATTACAGTCAGCATTGTTAAAGACATTTGCTTTTATAAGTATTTATAAAATATGTTAGATACTAGCCAGGTCGTGGTGGCACACACCTTCAATCCCATCACTCGGGGGGCAGAGGTAGGCGGATCTCTGTGAGTTTGAGATCTCTGTGAGTTAGTTCCAGGACAGCTAGGGCTGTTACACAGAGAAACCCCTCTTGAAAAAAACAAAAAGAAAAAAATGTTCGGTACTATTATTCATGCTTTTTTCGGGTTTGTTTTTGTTTTTCAAGACAAGGCTTCTCTTTATAGCATTAGTTGCCCTGGAAGACCAGGCTGGCCTAGAGACATCCTCCTGCCTCTGCCTCCTGAGTGGCTTAAAGGCATGCACCACCACAGGCCAAATATTATCCATGTTTTAACAGATGTGAAAACTAAAATGATCTACCCAGTAGTGACACAGTTGCTCTGTGGTGCAGCTGGAATTGAAACCTAGAAAGTACAACTCCATGCCCATACCCTAAATACAGCTGCTGTGAAGACATGCTGTGAGAGACTGAAAATTTGCTAGAGTGAGGCAGATTGGGGGAAAGAACATCTGTCCAGAAAAAAAAAAAACTTTTTTTGTTTTATTTTTATTTTATTTATTTATTAAAGATTTCTGTCTCTTCCCCACCGCCGCCTCCCCTTTCCC